TCATCCAATAAAGCATGATTTTATTTGACTGCTTGTGCAGATCCTGAAGAGCAGAATATTGAAGGAGAAGGAGGAGGATGGGAGATGCATTCACAGAAAACCATTGGCCATTGTGTATTCCTTCCGTATCCCGACGCCAAGCTCAATCACTCGAACCTGTGACTTACTGTGAGTTCCTTCTGCACCTTGAATAACATGTAATGGGCTGATCTCACAGCATTAGCATGCATTATACTGCATAAAGGGAAAGAGAGAGAGTGTGACTGGAGGGAATGAAAGTGCAACATGAATTTTAACAATATTCTCATTACTTATTTATACCTCCAGGAGGAGAGAGACACATTTCATATCTGTTACTGATGCTTTCTCTTTCTCTCCACTTCTGAAACTTTGCTGTTTGTTTGCTGACCTCCACCTGACCTTCTAGTGTTTTTGTGGTCACCTTCGCTGTATATGAAGCCTCTACACCGCTTCGATCACCACATCATGAATAAAACACATCACCGGTGTGAATCCTCTGGAGAAGAGCCTGCTGTAAACTGCAGAAAAAGGCGATGTGCAAATATGTTGCTTTTGAATTCAATCACTCGTTCGCTCTGATCTGCAGAAGAAGGAGATCTTTTTTTCCCATTTAGCTCAAATATGGAAATACGGCATCATCTCGCAGACCTGAAAGCCTGAAATAAAAGGGAGAAAGGCAGAAGAAAAAAGCGAGATGTTGACAGAGAGGTGTGCGTGTGCCGCGGGGATCCTCCTTAAACGACATGTTACAGGACTTTAGATTGCGAGGGATTTGACAAGCAATTATAGAAGCCAAACAAGACGCTTTCAGAAGAGCAACAGAGAGAATAATACTGTGATGGTACAGCAGTAGTTATTGAAGTATGAGAGATAATGGGAGATAAGAGGTCAGCGTTGGTGGATTTGAAATCAAATTACACACTACAGGAGTGTGGCGTTATGGATTACGCCTTGAGGATGGGAAAGCACCTGTTTCTGTGTCTGTAACAGCTTAGGCAAAAATAAGAATATTAACATTATCTTGTATTGTTCAGATGTTTCTGTTCTGGTCATTCTTTGGTAATTGAGGCTTTCAAGTCGCAGAAGGGTTATTAATTATTAATTGCTTATCCATGTCGTTCCAATCCCTCAAGACCTTAGTTTATCTTCAGAAAGGATATTACGATATTTTAGATGAAATCCGAGAGCTCTCTCAGTCCTAATAGCAGCAACAGTGAGTCCAGAAAACTAATCAAAAACACTGTCAAAATAATTCCATCTGTCAATTCAGTGATGTAAACATATGAAGCTCCAAGAACTCTTTTGTCTGCTTGTAAAACATAAAAACGATTTGGTTTGCCTTAAAAACCACTATACATTTCTGGAGAGCACCAAAAATGTCCCAGGAGCTATGTCCTTTCGCAGTTTTTATTTTTGCGGCTCCATCAGAGGCCGTTGTGTACTCTTTTTGAAATCTCAAATTTCTCTCGTAAGTATCATTCGCACCTGCTGTTCTCGATTAAATACATCAGAACTGGCTGTCGACTGACAGACTGACTGACTGACTGATCGACTGACCGACTGACCGACGCTTTTCCTTCCTTAAACCCAACCGATGGTGTTTTCAAAAGCACCGATTGACCCACCCACCCCCTACACTTAACCCATCCGACAGTTTTGCAAATAAGCAATCCAGAAAAGAAAAGCCCTCACAGCATCCTGTTTTATACCTCATTTTCAGTTTTTACCACATTCACATCCTGTTACTTATTTATTTTATTTTTTGCCACTTGTTTTGGTCTTTCCCGCTTTCTGAAACCGTTCTTCGCTAGACCCAAACCCCATTGTTGCGGTCATCTATGCTCCACATCACATGTCCGTCAACGTATGCTGCAACCATACTTGACAATCTGGTAACAGTGGACGTGGTAAGTGGTTAGCTGGTAAGTGCGAAAAGCTATGGTGTCATATCACCCTATAATGTTAATTTTAAAGATAAAATGCAGCCATACCTACTGTACCTCTGGCTACATAATTAGCGATCTCCAGAAATGTTTTAGTGCTACATTTATAGAATGAGCCAATGTTAAAAAAAATTCAGTTCAGGAAACATCAGTTTGACATAATGTGAGATGAAATGCTTGAAAAGCTCAATTTGATTCAACTTAATATAAGGCAATATCTTATGTTTTACTATTGAAAATCAAATACTATGGAAGATAATGGTTACCGCTTTTCAATATTTAACATTTTTCAAATTATCTTTTTTGTGTTCAAAAATAACATTTTCATACAATACAACAATAAACATTACAGTGACAGTTTCCATTCTTTCTATTCCCACCCCAAGACCTGAACATCCCAAGGCAGCTTAAAACAATAATTAGGTTCACATACAATAATTAAACAGTTTGGAGTCATGCATGTTGAGATGATGATGGAAAAAGAAATAAGATAAAAATAACTAATACGAATAGCAGGAGAAGGAAAAAATAAAAAATGAATAAAACTTTGCAGGACAAACTCCATTAAAGACAAAAATCACCATGAAGTGGATACAAAGAGATAAGCAGATTATTTAACAGCAGTGTAATTCTTTCAGATTTTTTAAAATATGAAAAAATAGGTTTCTAGTACGTATAAAACCTGTCCACCGAACCCCTTAGTGTGTATTTAATCTTTTCTAGTTTTAGAAAAGACATCACATCTTCAATCCAGGCTGTCACAGATGGGGGTGTGGAGGATTTCCAGCATAACAAGATTCATCTGCAGGCTAATAAAGATGTATAAGCAATAATGCCCCTCTGAGTAGCAGATAAAGTTATGGCCGTGGTGTTATTCAGAGTTACAAATATACCTATGTGACATAACAGAAACATAACTATTTTGTGCTGGACTTGTCTAGCTGAGGGTCAATAATGCTAAATAAATCCCCAGCGAGTATCAAATGATGTGTATTGAGCTTGGGAATTAATGATAATAGACTATTTGCAAACTGAACGTCTTTCCAATTGGGAGCATAAATATTGACTAAAACCACTGGGACAGAAGAAAGAAACTTGAGATAGTTTTCAGTTTTGGGCGAACTGTTAATTTATCTCTAAAATAAAAGGCTACTGACCACAAAATCTTGAACATGTAGTGTATCTTAAAATGAGATGTTTAATTTCTGAATGTAAATCATGTTTCTATACAGTGCTCATGAAGTTGACATCTCACCCACATCACCTTGTAGTGATGGAGTATACAGTTGTCATACATAAATCCTCGGGGTCTCCTGCAAACCCATGGGAAGTATTGCTGAGAAAATTCATTAACTCGTTCAAATCTCATGTAAATTCATTAAGCTTCCAGCAATGAGAAAATAGGGAGCCCTGTTGTGAAGAAAATTCCACAGCAGTTTTAATGAAAGCTCAGTCTTTCTGTCTCTCAGAGGGGGAGGAGATTCTCCAGAAAACAGCCTGCGGATAAATCTCACGCCAGCACACTCCGGTTAACATGCAAGAGTTTATCAATTTAAGTTGCAATAAATTTAGCTAGCAAAGCAAAAAGTGAAATAGATTGGATTGCAGATTCAATTCGCAGTTACGCAGCTTAACCGAATTTATAATTAGATTGCCCGCAGCTCAAAATGACTCAAAAACTGAAATTTTTATTGATCCCAAAACAATTCACGGCTCTCGGAAATAAGTGTTATAGAGATAAATATGCTCACAATTCATCAGAATTTTTGTGCTGCTCATGTAAATTATATCTTGCCATTTCTCTCATACCTTATTTATATAGTACACCGTGTTAATATGAAGAAATATACTGCATACATGTATATAGATGTTTTAGTTACATTGTGTTATTATTTATTTTAATGTAAGACTTCACAATAAGACTCCATTAGTTAATGTTAGTTAATTCATTTACTCAACATAGGTTCATTCTGAAAATGTAGCCATATAAAAATTTTCTGGAGGTCGCGAATTATGTACGTATGACTGCATTTCATTTTTAAAACAAACGCCATGAGGTGGTATGATGCTGTTCCTTTTCGCGCTAGCAACTGATGGCTTACCTCTTTATGGATGCCTTTTTTCTGCTGTTATCAGTTTGTCCAGTTAGCTCGCCATGTACATAGCCAGACTTGAGACGCAGAGAGGAGTTGACCACAATGACAGGGTTCGAGTCTGGTGAAGAGTGATTCCAGAAAGCAGGTAAAACAAAAACAGAATCCCAATTTCTGGTCAAATCTGAAAATATGGTGAAAATTGTTTTTTTAAAACTGTCAGTTGGGTTTAGGGAAGTCGGTGAGAGGGCCAATCAGTGCTTTTGAAAACACTATTGGTTGGGAGAAGGAGGAGGGTGGGTCAGATGATCAGTCAGTCTACAGCGGCCTCTGGTGGATATACGTGAGAACAGCAGGCTCGAATGGCACTTGCGAAAGAAATTTGAGATCTGAAAAAGATTTTTTGTTTTGTTTTAAGGAAAAAAAAAACGCAAAAAAAAACATACCACCCAGGATTTATTTTGCTCCATCCAAAAGTGTATATTTATATGTATTATTGTAACCCAGGCTCATTCTTAAAACGTACCACTACATACTTTTCTGGAGAGTGGCGAATACATCCCAGGAGATATGTTTTTTGCAGTTTTTGTTTTCGCAAATCCCCCAGAGGCCGCATTTTGAGTACACAATTTGCGATCTCAAATTTTACTTGCGAGTGCTGTTTGTGCCCGCTGTTCTCGTGCAAATCCACCAGAGGCTGCTGTCGACTGACTGACCAATCAACTGACCCACCCTCCTCCTTTCCTAAACCCAACTAACAGTGTTTCAAAAACCACCGATTGACCTGTGCATACCCACTTTCCTAAACCCAACTGACAGTGTTTTGAAAAGCAATTCAGAAAAAGAAAAACCCTTGCCTGATTTTTTTACCACGTTTTTATATTTGACCACATTCTAACCCTGTTATTTACTTGTATATTTTATTTTTTGGCTTCTGTTTTTGTCTTACCTGCTATCTGAATCGAATCCCATCGTCGTGGTCAACTCCTCTCTGTGTCTCAAGTCCACTGGTGTACATAGCGAGGTACTGGAAAAACTGGTAACAACGGAAAAGCTGTCCATATGAAGGTAAGCGCTCCAAAATCGTATATAGAGCTAAGTTTTCATAATGAGCCTATGTTGTCAACATTAGTAAAAAAATGTGCATTGTCCTAACACAAATCTACTAAATTAACATAACAAATTTGAGTGGATTGAACATAAAACAATTAACTTGTCCCACAGAAACCTCAAGATTTGTGCTGTTTTAGTTAATTTTAAACTAGTAGTTTCAACAAGCAGCAAAAATCTATAACAAAAAGTTGTTCATTAACTAACAAGCATGATTTTGGATTTTATAATGAATTAGTAAACACTGAACTAAAATTAATGAGGGCTTTACAAGTATTGTTCATTCTCATGTTAATAAATACATTAACTAATTAAACCTATTGTAAAGTGACCATTTTGAAAGGTTTTGTGCAAATGTTCAAAGAATTAATCAATTTTTTAATCTATTTACGTGTTTATTTTGGATGTTTAAACCTGATATCTTGCTGTTTCTCTCACAGACCTGATGCAGTAATGCAAGGCTGTTGTGGAAGCCTTCTGAAGATTTATTTCCGAGAGCGAGGTCAGTCGATGGAGAGCAGGAGGATCTTTAACATGTCACAACCTGCAACAGAGACATCACAGTTTACAGGCTTCTATTCCATTCATCTAGCAGATATGGTCTTAAAGATGACACTTATTGACCACATCTTTCCAGTCTTCATCTGTACAATACAACCACATTGCGTTATTTGAAATATCTGGTACTCTCGTGGTTTTTTTGTCGGGGGGATGGGATTGAAGCGAGGAGCCTGGAGGTATGTGAAGTGGATGAGATGGAGAGTAGATTGGGGGAGGATGGAGGAGGATGGAGAAGAATGGAGGATAATGGGGGAGGAGGAACGTGGCCAAGCACATGTGTAATTGTGGTTTGTGGCTCAACCTAATATTCTTGAGGGACAGATTGATCCGTAAAGTGTTTCGGCTCCCTGTGGATAATGCTTGGTCCATTTATGCGCAAGTATTAGAAACACTGTTGAAAAAAACCTGTCAGGTTTACAGGAAAATAAACTCTAAGGTGTGGTTGCCAGATAAATTCAGTAAAAATGAAGTAAAAGTTAGACATATTTACAGAACAACATGTCAATTTCGCTATTTAAAAATGATCAATCAGTTTCAAACAATATCAAGGCAATGCTGCAGTTTAAAGGATAGTTCACCCAAATGTAAATTCTGTCATTATTTACTCACTTATCAATCGGTCTAAACCTATTTGTTTTTTCTTCTGTTAAACACAAAAGAAGATATTTTGAAGAATGTTGGAAATTTTAGCCATTGTTTCTTTTTCTATTTTAGAGTTCTATTTCTTAATTTTTTTTGGCTATCAACAGTACTAGTTTCCAACATTCATAATTTTTTTTCTTTCTTTTTTAGCAGAATAGATACTCATGAAGTAACTTTAAGGTGAGTATACAGTGAGTACATTTTCACTATTTGAGGATCCAACGTGGTTACAAACGTTTTTGCACTTTTTATTTGCCAATAACCACCATATAAACAGAAAGAAAAGCACATTTTGTATTTGATAAAGTAGTTTCACACAAACATTAAATGCAGGCAAATGTTAAATATAGCTTTATAGTAAACAAATGACTCTAAGTTCAGTATTATTTTATATTAACATATAACATTAACAATATAAAACTTTAAATAAATAAATAGGGCATAGGGGTGATAAGTGGGAATAGAGCACAGCCAGGAAATGTTTCTAACTACAGCTCCAGAGGTGTTGTTTCAATTGCTCAAGTTTGCAACGCAGTTTGTGAATGTTCGTTGGAGTGATGGATTTAGGAAACAGCAAATCAACAAACTATGTTTGTAACGACGGAACTTGTGACCTTAATTTGCTAATGATGGTTTTGGGAAACGCACCCCCTTTAAACATTTTTTTGTGATTTAGAATTAGTTTTTGTTTTATATACCTGTAATAACCCAGGTCATATGAAGATCATTTACTGTCAACCATAGTCTTTGAGTGTAGAGACACAAACAACTCAGAATTTTACTTGAGAACAGTCTGTTATAATGGTCTACGTCTTAAAAAATCTGACTCAAGCTCATAATTACAGTTAATGTGTCAGACCAAATTGGGCTCGGACAAAAAAATGCACTGGCTTGGGTAGGGTTAAATCCTGATCTAAGCTCTACACTAAACCAACAGCAAAAATGTAGTGCTGAAGACAGTCGACTATTGCAGGTAAAACAAAAACTGAATCCCAATTTCTGGTCAAATCTGAAAATATGGTAACAATTGTTTTTTTTTAAACTGTCAGTTTTAGGGAAGTTTAGGGAAGTCGGTGAGATGGCCAATCAGTGCTTTTGAAAACACTATTGGTTGGGAGAGGAGGAGGGTGGGTCAGATGATCAGTCAGTCTACAGCAGCCTCTGGTGGATATACGTGAGAACAGCAGGCTCAAATGGCACTCGCGAGAGAAATTTGAGATCTGAAAAAGATTTTTTGTTTTGTTTTGAAAAAAAAAAAAACGCAAAAAAAACATACCACCTGGGATTTATTTTGCTCTCTCCAAAAGTGTATATTTATATGTATTAATGTAACCCAGGCTCATTCTTAAAACGTACCACTACATAAATTTCTGGAGAGTGGAGAATACGTCCCAGAAGATACGTTTTTTGCAGTTTTTCTTTTCGCAAATTCCCCAGAGGCCGCATTTTGAGTACGCAATTTGAGATTGTGAGCAAGCTCATAATTACAGTTAATGTGTCAGACCAAGTTGGGCTCGGACACGAAATGCAGTGGCTTGGGTAGGGTTAAATCCTGATCTAAGCTCTACACTAAACCAACAGCAAAAATGTAGTGCTGAAGACAGTAGACTATTGCATCACTTGCATTGGAGCAAAAAAAAAAAAAAAAGCAGAATCAACCAAATAAAGCTGATGCCATCAAACTAGAGCAGATGGTACAAACCAGAAAAACTAAAGCCGACCAATAAATGACCATTATCTTGATGTGTCCCAAGCTTTATTGTTAAAATCACAGTTAGCAATTTTCTGGACTTTATCCATTTTCTCTTCTTGGTTATTGCATAAAACACACATTCAGTTCACAAGTACTACATCCCAAATCAGCAGAGACCTTTTGGCCCATACAGATATGATCAATTCCTCCTCTCCTCTATTATTGAGCCAAAGCGCTCGTAAATAAGGGCACCTCTCTTCTCTCTGGAGGGCAGAGAGGCAATAAGCAGAGCTCCGTCAGCCACCCCGAGGGCTTCAACCCACGTCCTCCCTCCAAGGGCAGCACAGCGCACTTCATTTAATTACCCAGCATGCCCCGTGCATCGCCATCTCACATCGGTGTGAGGCAAACACATCGGTTTGTAATTAATTTTGCTGATGTGTGTCAGTCATGTCGCGCACAGCTCTTGCTGGCGCTCCAGATTGTGGAGATTCAGGGTGGAGCACCGATTCGGGGTCTAATTTATCAAGGCCTGTACCTGTCTCATATGGGTCACTGTGGGGGAAGGGAATGAAGGAGGCCTGCATAGGTTTGGTTGCTGGGAATGAACAGTAGCTCAAATCCCCAGGTGTATCGATCAGCAGAGCTGCGAGGAGCGAGTTGGTCTATTGGAAGGTGGAAATTATAATGGCTTAATGAAATGGAAGCAGCTGATTTTTTTTTTTCTTCTTCTATATTGTGACGTATAGCTAAGCATAACAGATTATACGAGAAGACGAAACTTTAAGCACTTATATTGAGCTTTGTGGTGTTAATAATTTATTAGTTTACATAATTAAAAAAATTGGGCCCTTTCATACACCTGGACCGATGCGGTGCTATGCGCGATGCAAGTGGCATTTGCTAGTTTCAGCCAGGTGCAGGTATCGTTTTTATGTATTGTGCCATGTAGTTTAAATACCATATGCATTTGCACCAAGCACAACCTCTCACTCTCCCTTATATAGCTAATATGCAAGTAACTGAAACTGCAATTCATCGACTCGCCTTTGGGGGCTGGCTCCAGGAAGTCCAGATGTTCACTGACTGCAATGCTAAATTGGCCAATTTTACATCTGATAAAAAAATGTCTACAGCCTGGTACAAAATATTGTTTTGGTGTATATAGCTAATATTACCCTTTATAACTACTGTAGGGGGGGAGGGGGATTATAACTCATCCGTTTTGTTTTTATTAAGATATATTAAGTCTGCATAATTAAGGGTGTGGCCACTTAAGTGACAGCTATGTCTCGCTGCTCTCGTCACCTCAGCTGATTCTGGCTGCATTAACCGCTGAACTCAGCATATAAATCATATTTTTGTTTTGTTTTATGTGGCTTTACACAGTCAATTAACTTTTGGAGTAATTTCCTACAATTATCAGATTATATGGCAGGCTGTGTGCACGTAATTGTGTTTACAAACCATTTAAGTGGCCTCAATTTCTTAGGTGAGTCAAATTATATACTTATACCATATCTATTAATGTATTTGTTTTATTTAAGATAATTTATAATTTTCTTTAGACCTGTAGTGCACTCCAGAATCTGACAGATTGATTAGCTGTAGCCTCTAGAACAGTCATCTGAAAAGCTGTCATGCAGTGTTACGCCTGGATTTCATAATTAGCCTTGCATTTACTAACACTGACTATATTTGAAATATTTAGAATTAGTTAGCATTTTCCTCCAGTAAAAAAGCATCATAAGAACATTTTTTTTGTGGCATAAAGTATTACAACAGTGTTTTAAAAGACTGAACACTTTACTGATATAGCATACAACCAAGCACATGTAGTCAGAACACAATTGAGTCGCATGTAATGAAGTGTGAAGCATTTCTCCCAAAGAAAAATCTGTCTAAACAAAATGCTAGCAGGCATCTGTAGCTCCGCTTTTTTGCTCTTGTTTGATATCCCACTGTCGGTGCAATGACACATAAACAAAATGACGATGGTTGGTCATGCCTACTTGCAGCTTCACTTGCGCTCTTCAGAATCCTTTAAGTGACGTCACGGATACTACGCCCATATCTTTTACAGTCCATTATTTGCACACATGGGCATGTTGGTCTGAAAATAAGGTGTGTTAAGGTTGCTTATTGCACACACAAAGATGTGCAGCATAATACAAACATCTTTGAATGTTAAAAAATATAAACCTAAATTATTATGTCTACAAATAAAAATATATGTCCACATGTCATAATGAAGTCAATGAATGTGCCTCTTTAACCTCGTGCATGTGCAGATATGTTTCCTCAATAGCAAAGCATTCATGATTTCTGCTTACAAAGTCTGCCATCTAAATATTGAATCCTTTACTCCATCTAATTACTCCATTATGTATCACAACTTCACTAAAACTAAAATGCATTTAATTCTAAAATAAAGCAAGAAATGAAAATAAATAAAAGAAAGAAGCATTTAAATACTTCTATGAATATACTGTACAATGGAAGAATTGCAGAGATTTCCCCCATGAAACATGAGTTTGTTTTAACAGTCACATTAAACACAAGCTGTACTGAACACTATAAACTCACTGAAACTGTGTCCACGTTTTTCAGTAGCACATTCACATTCATTTATTTCCCTATAGGGATTTCTTAAAAATCTTTAACTTGAAACAAAGCAGTATAGAAAAATCTGAAAAGATGAAGAAGGCTGTATATATGAAAGAACATTGATGAGGATCCCATGAAACATTAATAATGCCATAATTTAATTTGTACACCTATACTTGTTTTGAGGAAAAGTCATTTATGTCTGTTGCCATTATTAGGAGTGGGCGAATCTATAGATATCTTTTAGTGTGCCTGCCATATATGTTTTATGGATTTGAGTGTGCCTATAGCTTGCTGCTACTCTCTGATTGGTGAAATTTTCTGCGCAACCTCATGGGTAATTATACTTCTGCTCAGATTCCATGAATGTTTTTACTTCACACTCTCAGAAATAAAACTACAAAAGCTATCAATGTGGTAAGATACATGTCTGTACCCAGAGGATTCATTTTGTTTACTTAAAGGCATCGTAAAGTAAACTTTTATGTACTACTGCCTAAAAAACATTTCTACGTTTTTCTTTTTTGAGAAACTTTTAGGCAAACTTAGTCACTACTTATTTTTTTCTTTTAAACCACATATCAAACATAAGAAGTCAAATATGCTTTCACCCTAAAATAAGGAGTCTTTTTAAATGCAAAGGTAATTTACAAATGCAAAAATCCCTAATTAAAATACGCCACTTTTTGATAGTACTTTGAATATGGATGACAGCAAGTATGGAGTTGTGACATTTTGATTGAATCACAAGGTTAATTAAATGGCCATAAATGGTTGAATCCAGCTATTAAGATCTACAACATGCCTTGGATTAGTAACTAAATGATTTGGCTTTCTTGCCACGTGAACAACAGCGACATCTAGCGCACAGATGTTGAAACTACACTTTCTCAAATTGGGGGCATAATTGATGTCTAATTGCGTTTTAATACCGTGCAATTAGATATAAGTATTGTTGTAACAGTTTTCCCCCTATTTTTAATTTGACAAAATAATAAATAAATCATGAGGGATAATAAGCAGACTACCTTGCTGATTGCACAGTCTTCATGGAGGATTTGTTTTACTGAGATGCTGTGAAATGCACATTCACATTTTTCCCCATTGTTCTTGTGCATTCTGCCGTAATCACCATCCAATTCCCCTCGATTATACGCACATGTGACTTCATCAAAGAAATCATTTTATACTACGTGACTTGCTTTTAAAGATGCTTAAACATGATTTAAATTTAGTATTTACGACATTGCTTTCAGCAGACAGTGGATGCAGTGACATTTTCAATTACAAAAGGTTTCCCAGGAACAGCAGTCTTGCATATGGAACTAAATTTAGACTGAGCTTTGTCCAGTGTCATAAGAGGAATTACCATGGAAACAAGTGTCAGTGTTCCTCCTGTGCCTCACTTGTACCTCAGTGAGACTCATTTTGCTTCCTGTCACGTCAAAACACCATGACAAATCATTAGAAAATCCATTTAATAGTGTGGGTGTAATTAATTCACCGAATCGAATGCTCGTTAGCAAGAATTACATAGTGTGTGACTTAACTGAATGTTGTTAAATAACTACCTTTAGTTTTATACACACTCACCGGCCACTTTATTAGGCACACCGGTCCAACTGCTTGTTAATGCATTTCTAATCAGCCAATCACAACGCAGCAACTCAATGCATTTAGCCATGTGGTCAAGACGATTTGCTGCAGTTTAAACTGAGCATCAGAATGGGGAAGAAAGATGATTTAAGTGACTCTGAACGCGGCATGGTTGTTGGTGCCATAAGGGCTGGTCTGACTATTTCAGAAACTGCTGATCTACTGGGATTTTCACGCACAACCATCTCTAGGGTTTACATAGAATGGTCAGACAAAGAGAAAATATCAAGTGAGCGGTACCGTAGTTCTTTTGGAAATGCCTTTTTGATGCCCGAGGTCAGAATGGCCAGACTGGTTCGAGCAGATAGAAAGGCAACAGTAACTCTAATAACCACTCGTTACAACCGAGGTATTTAGAAGAGCATCTCTGAGTCTGAACGCACGTGTCGAACCTTGAGGCGGATAAAGCATCAGAAGACCACACCGCATGCCACTCGTGTAAGCTAAGAACAGGAAACTGTGCCTACAGTTCACACAGGCTCACCAAAATTGGACAATGGAAGATTGGAAAAACGTTGTCTGGTCTGATGATTCTCGATTTCTGCTGCGACATTCAGATGGTAGGGTCAGAATTTGGCGTCAACACCTTGAAAGCATGATTTATCCTGCCTTGTATCAACAGTTTAGGCTGGTGGTGTATTGGTGAGGGGATATTTTCTTGGCAAACTTTGGGCCGATTAGTACCAATTGAGCATTGTGTCAACAGCCTACCTGAGAATTGTTGCTGACCATGTCTAACCCTTTATGACCACAGTGTACTCATCTTCTGATGGCTACTTCCAGCAAGATAACGCCCCATGTCATGAAGTGCAAATCATCTCAGACTGGTTTCTTGAACATGACAATGAGTTCACTGTACTCAAATGTCCTCCACAGTCATCAGATCTCAATCCAATAGAGCACATTTGGAATGTGGTGGAACGGGTGGTTTGCATCATGGATGTGCAGCTGACAAATCTGCAGCAACTGCATGATGCTATCATGTCTATGGACTGAAATCTCTAAGAAATATTTCCAGTACCTTGTTGAATCTATGCCATGAAAGATTAAGGCAGTTCTGAAGGCAAAAGGGTGTCCGACACAGAACTACTAAGGTGTAATGTGGCTGGTGAGTGCATAACGCTATGTACTGTAATTTTTACACTTGCAACAAATGAACTCTATTTAAATTATAGCAAAAGTATGCTATAGTAACTATGTTGTATTTGTTGAAATTATATAATTGATGTTTATGTAATTAATTGAGCTAACCAGCCTAATTAATTTTAGAATACAATTATTATACAGACGGGCGAGGCAGTGGCGCAGTAGATAGTGCTGTCGCTTCAAAGCTAGAAGGTCGCTGGGTCGCTGGTTCGAACTTCAGTTGGCGTTTCTGTGTGAAGTTTGCATGTTCTCCCTGCCTTCGCGTGGGAGATTCCTCCGGTTTCCCCCACAGTCCAAAGACATGCGGTACAGGTGAATTGGGCAGGCTAAATTTTCCTTAGTGTATGAATGTGTGTGTGGATGTTTCCCATGGGTTGCGGCTGGAAGGACATCTGCTGCATAAAAACTTGCTGGATAAATTGACGGTTCATTCCGCTGTGGCGACCCCGGATTAATAAAGGGACTAAGCCTACAAGAAAATGAATGAATAATTATACAGGCCTTATAAGTTTTTGTACCGTGAATATGAGCCTGTATGTGCGCGCATGTTAACAAACCATGGCATTGGTGGCCAATATAGGCTATGTTAAAAAATATATATATATATATATTTTTTTTATAAAATGTCCTCGGATAGTTAAAAAAACAATCAAAACTTTACAAATAGTTTTTAAACTTTTGATAAACTGTCTTTCTTCAATAAGCAATGAGCAATAAAATTTCACCATATATTTTTAAAATCCCAATCCTTGATTTGATATCATAAACAAGATAGGATTGGACAACAGGGTGATGGTATGAGGCATGTCGCTTATATAAGCGAAACTTAAATGTGAAATTCTAAACTTTGACTTTTTAATGGGTTTATGATGGATAAATAAATAAAAAGGAAATCAGAAATGCTTGAATGTATTGTCATTGCATTTCCATAAATCTGTTGTAGGCTCTCCAGCTCCTCCACCGGCTCTGCGCAGGAAGTGAACGGGGAGCGCGCGCGCTGGAATCAAGTTTGGTTGAACTCCGGTATGTTTATTTTTACACGACAGAGGTTGCGTTTCTCCACTGAGTGTTGCAGATGTTTATGATCTCGCTAACGGGATGGAAAGAACACCTGGATAAGCTGGACGACACGTTTCACTGGAAAAATCCTCATCCTACTTCTGGGTGTGAGCTTGTGCTGCTGCTGGAGATCGGTAAGAATCATGTGGAAGAGCAGCAGCGAGCGAATCTTCCTTCAAAATCTAACAATCTGGTTTGCTTTTGATCCGCTGCATAAGACATTTTAAAGTCAGCTTCAAGTTGGTTAATGTTACTAAAATATAATTTTGTTTTCCAAATGGCTATATATCTATGTAAGAGGCGAGAGCTCAAACAAAAACCACATTCCTATACGATAAAATGAACGGATCTACATGCGAAACCATTGAGTGCTCAGAAAAGCTTGTCTCATCCTGTTCATGCAGATGCATTATATAATCTCTGTTTTAATGTGAAGGGCTGTTAAACTGTTTACATGAGCACAGATTAGCACAGTTATCATTCAGAACATGAATTGATCCTTCCAGAATCCTCTGCCCGTCTCTGTCTGAACCCTGAACCAAAAGGGATTTTAAGGCTTTCCTCTTTGGCCCAATAGTTTAGATGAAATTATTTTTATTATTTATTGCATTTTTTATTTTAGCATTTTTATTAGCTTGTTAGCTAAATAATACATAAAATAATATAAATAAAACAAGCAAGGCTATAATAATAATATGCTATAATAATAAATAATGTATATTCAAGGAGATAAGTAAGTGTTATTAATACCATGGCAAATATGCATTCACAAACACACATTTACTGGGAAAAAATTGTAATTCATAACATAATAATTAATAGAGATACAGCTATTTGAAATTCTCAAATCTTAGGGTAAAAAAAAAAATATATATATATATATATATATATATATATATATATATATATATATATATATATTTACTGTGACAATCATCGTTTAAATCAGAGATGTTCAAAGTTGGCCTATGGTAACTTTTGGTTTGACCCACCATCTCATTTAAAAAGAGAGGGAATGATGGAGAGTTGGTTGGGGTGAATGCATTTGACAGAGAGTTCTAATTTAAAATAACGTGTTTTTTTTTCTTTGTTTAATTGAGGAGCTACAAAAAGCCTACTAAAATTAATAGTTAAAGGTTAATTTAAATGTTGTAAATAAATCTGATTTTAAAAACAGACTTTGCACAAGACATCGGTGAGCAAATCAAGGCAAAGGCAGGATCAGCTCAACTATTGTGTTCATTATTGAGCTCCATTGTCTTATAAATGTAATTGTTTATGTTTTACTATAATAAGTTGATTATAAAACATTTAATGTAATACGGTTTGGTATATTTGACTTCGGCCCACAGCCCTCAATCAAGTTTGATTTTTGGCCACTTTTAAGAAAAGGTTTGGGCACACCTGGTCTAAATAAAGTGCTATTTATTTAGAATTTAGATATGTTTACTGTAGGAAATTTACAAAAAAAGTGTGTGTGTATATATATATATATGTATATATATATATATATATATATATATATATATATATATATATATATATATATATATATATATATATAAAATTTATTTTTACTTTTTTATCTTAATGGATTTTTGAAGATCCATAAAACATGAGACTTTGTATATTACACACACATGCATGTACAGTTTTGTTAGCAAATTATGGCAGTAGTGCAGAATATTACTTGTATAAAAGCTTAAAAAACATTGTTAAAATATTTAAATCAGCATATTTTCAGTGCATCTCTAAAAAGCTATTGTAATCCCTGCAAATATATGCCAACATGCACAAGAACAACAAAAGTATGAATTATCTGCAATGGCAGATTATCTCTTGTGACATTTCCAGCAACGGGCCTGACTGTCTCAGATCAGCTACCTTATTGTTAAGCCTGTGATAAACTTACTTAAACACCAAACAATCGTATAATACTCCATTTCTCTTCTTAGACACCAGCTGTGTGTAACAGTGTTCCAGAGACATCACTATGGATTCCTATGGGCGTATGGAGTTCCTGCAGGCTTTAGTGGAGGGCTGTGTGTTGCCCACTGCCCTGCAGGGTCTTGAGCAGGTCTGGCAGCTTCTGCTGGTCTGCCTGCTGTGTCGGGTCATCTGTAGACTAGGTGAGTCCATCATCCACAACCCCTGCCCTCTAACACCTGCTGGACTGACACAGACAGTACAAGTTTATTTATTTCGAGCATTTCATTCACAGTGCTAATTCAAACTGCTTTGCATAAAAAAGGATTTCAAAAGAACAATAAAATAATCAAAAAAAGAAGCATAATAAATAAATAAATATCTAAAAAGGATTTAAAACTGATTGAAATGTGCTTAAATGGGTGAAAATACACTCCTTTAGGTGACTTTTGTTAAGAGAGAGTTTAAAATAGTGAATTTAACATTAAAGGCCACTTCTGATGAAAATCAGCTTTTGTAAGCTGTTTGGACAGAACTGTGTGTAGGTATAGTGTGTCCACAGTCATATTGGAGTGACTTAAACTCAGCAAGTCTCTTTCATTTAAATTTTGACATTAAAATATGATCCAAATCCCAGAGATTTTTAAGCCCACCGCAACATGACACACTGTAGGAGTGTGGCTTTCCCCACCCACCAAATTGATTGTCAGGCGCCATGTTGCTATATTAGCATGTATACACATGTCCACAGAACATTATTTTGCAAATAAATTGGGATTAAAATATTTGTTACAACTCTGTTATTTTTAGAACAGCAAATGTTTTATATGATTAAAACGTTTTAAAAAAGACCATGTTTATAATAAAGAATTTTCTCATTCTTAACCGATATAATCACCATAGCCGTATGGTGTTAGTAAACATGTGTTATGTGTTTTGTGTGTTCAGACAGCACAATTCAGACACCAAAATGGGCAGATTCCGGAGGCTTTAATAAATAGTCTGATGGGTTTTTTTGAGCTGACAATTTTTAAACATTTTCTAAAAATTATTTAAATTATTAAATATTGCAGATTAGTAAAAATAAAAAATTCAGAGATGCAATTTTTGGGTCATATCGCACAGCCCTACCTCATCTTTATAGATAATAATACAGAGTAAAGTCACTTTCACATTTCCAACAGATGAACACTAAGAACAGTGAATACAATCAGAATCAGTTCTGCTTTAAAAAACTATGTGAGCATTCAACATTGCTGAAGCTATTTAGAAACAAGAAGTTATTGAGTATTGTTTTGGATTCTGAGATATTTTTATATAATCATCTTCTATATAAAGTTAACGTATATTATAACTATATTCAAACAGTTTTAAAAAGAGAAAGATCCATGAATAAATAAGTTTTAAAATGAACATTTCCAACTAAAGATGGTTACATTTTTCCAACAAGTGCATGTTTGACACATTTGAATGAATTAAAAGTTGATCACTATATATATTGTATGTATAAAATATGCTGTCATTACATTCAACATTTAAGTGTGGATGGATAGATAGATAGATAGATAGATAGATAGATAGATAGATAGATAGATAGATAGATAGATAGATAGATAGATAGATAGATAGATGACGGACCGATGGATGGATGTTTGGAAAGAAAGATGGATGGATGGATGAATAGATAGATAGATAGATAGATAGATAGATAGATAGATAGATAGATAGATAGATAGATAGATAGAAGGATGACGGACAGATGTATGGATGTTTGGAAGGAAGGATGGATGGATGGATTGATGTTTGGAAGGATAGATGCGTTGGGATTTATAAGGATTTTATGTAGTGTGTAGAGTAATTATATTACTTTTCGAAAAATAAATTATACACAGTTTGAAATAAACGTGGTTCTTCTAATTGACTTGATTTAACTGGTCTGTTTGCTTCATTGGTTCTTTAATTAAGTAAGTTCCTAGGCCATTTGCTGATTTGTAAACCAGTAATAATACTTTCCAGTGTCTTCTCATTGTAATTGGAAACTAATGTTTAAATACCTAAAGGCTTGCTTTGATATGTTACAATTCTCTGCTTCTGGTTCCATTACAGTAATCCACCCTACTGGGGATAAAAGCACAACAGAGTTACCCTTGGTCTTCACTAGAAGCAACTCATCTAATTCATGCATGACCCAAATGCTTCTTGTATAGCTAATGCTATTTGTCATGTGTTTTGTGTTGAAAATATTCCCTCTTGATCTTGTTATCTGCAGCTCATGTTGTGGAATGGTCCATCTGTTGGGTCTGGAAGCATCAGGCTAATGCTCGTCTCTCTTTGACAGGTGTCTCGTGTCATGTGAAGCATCTGAGCTCGCTGGCAGGCGGTCTTTATGTGCTCTACGTGTTTTTCGAGATGCACACGATGTGGGTGATCATCCTGAGCCTCCTCTGCTACCTCATTCTGCTCCTCAGCATCAACTCCAGCAGCCGAGGGGTTTTCCTCTCCCTCGTCATCCTCATTTACATGCTGATGGGGTCTGTCCTCTACTTCCAGTCATCATTTTGCAACAGTATTGTTATGTAATGTTCAAATTTAATACATATTTTGTACATTTACATTGTAGGGAACTACACATGATAGATGCAGCGACCTGGCATAAGATGAGAGGTTTGTCTGTTATTATTGATTGGTTTTTAAGGGATTTTCAGACAAAGAAAAAGTAGTAAATGTTAGAAGGGCAAGAAAACATTTCCATTTTGCTGCCAGGGGTGGATGTGCTTTCTGCATGCAACTTAATAGCCACACAAGAAGGGTAAAATTCTAAAATGTAAATCAGACATATTTACTTATTGTGCTTGGTGTGAACAGACTCTTAATATGCATATTACAATGTCAGTTTCCTCCAATAAAACTCATGGGCGGTGCATTGCATGTACTGTACTGACTGATGTGTTTGTGTGCAGGGTCCCAGATGGTGGTGGCCATGAAGGCCATCTCTCTAGCCTTTGACCTGGATCGAGGCGCTGTGTCCTCCTTTCCCACCCCGCTGGAATTCATGGGATACCTCTTCTTTGCAGGAACAGTCATCTTTGGCCCATGGATTAGTTTTGCCCGCTACATAGATGCAATTAATGGCCGTAAAATGGTAAATAAAACTTTTATTGCTTTATTCTATTATTGTTATCTTATTTTATAGTTAATTATTTTTTTTTAATTATACGCTTTCCTTTTTTCTCTTTTTTTAAATAAAACTTCAAATATATATGAAGATTTCAGATGCAAAAACCTCTAAATCCATCAGACCTCTTTTCTTGTGAATGAGCATTTTCTATCAGGCTCCTCTGATAAGGTTCAGAAGTTTCATTTTATATGTAATGAAAAGGTTATTAGCCAGTA